TAAAACTTTACAATAGCACACCTAGTTACAAGCTTATCATTCAAAAAAAATATTCTAAAGGTTCAAAACTTGTAATTTGGAAACTTTGCACTCTAAAATCAGGAACTTCGCAGTAGCTCATTTGACACATTGTACTTCCAAACCAAAAATGTTGCATTGCACACGAAAATTAGGACATTACAATTATATTATAGATAGTTCTGAATTTTTGTACGTCTAAAACTTTGGGCTATGAATTTAAGAAATATCAACTGTCACATTACAATTTTTTCACTCCAAGTAAAAACTAGTAATTTTCAAAAACAAGTGCTCTAAAAAATTGTGGAACTTTGCAGTAGCTCACTAGAAAAATATCCAAGATTAGAACTTATGTTACGCCCCAGGTTAAGGACCTTCACACTGACCTAGTTTAGAAACTTTGTAATTCTAAACATTATATTCTTAAATGCAAACATTGTCATTCAAATCTTTGCATTCTGGGTTTAGGAACTTCCAACTATCACAGAAGAAAACTTTTTACTCCAAAGGTTAAAAACTTTATAATTTTGAAAACTTTCCACTCAAATAACTCACTTTAAAAACATTGTACTCTAAAACTTTGTAATGCACCCCACATTTAGGGCATTTCTAATGCAATGCACCTAGTTCCTCGTAAACATGTAAATACTTAAAAACCCTTTCCATACAAGTACTAATATGTTTTAGAGTACAATGCCCAGAATTTCAATATGGAAAACTCTTCAGATTGGAAAACAGAACCTTTCTACCTAAGTATTGAAAATTTCTAAGGCATAAGGGAAAAAACTTTCTATATCCAGAATTTTACCATGTGTGCCAAAACTTTCAAATTGGAATATTGCAAACTTTGAAATCACAAATTCAAAAACTTACAACACCTTCAGATCTGGTATTCAGAAACTTCCATAATTATATTCAGAAAAACTTCCTACATGATAAAATAATATATATCAAGTTGCATGTTTGAATCTTTATAAACAAAAATACAAAACTTTTAAATTAAATATTTAAAGACTTTGTACATATCTAGCTTTCAAGTTACATTTTAAACTTGCACTTGAAATTGAGAAACTTGCAAATTTAATATTAAAAGCTTACTACGTCTCTATAGTTTAAGTTAAAAAATCTAAATTCAATATTCAGTTTAACATGTAATCACTAATTTGAAATAAATTATTGCCCTCTAAATGTACAAACTTTGAACTAGGATGCTATAAACTTTATATTCCCAGCACCCAAATGCATTTGAAGATCCAACAACTTTGTAATTAAAAACTTTCAACACAAAGACATTGAACTATAATATTCTAAAACTTTATACACTGAACTATAAAAACCTTTTAATTATAAAGTTATCCCTCTAAATTCAGAAGGTTCATGCGGCACATTTCTAGAATTTACACTTCTATATCCCAGCAAAATAGAACTCAAACTTGAGCCACCAATTTTACAAACTTTGAAGTATGACTTTATAAACTTTCTACTCTACAGTGCCAAACTTTATGTTTACCATGTGCCCTATTTCATAGTTTTCTACTTTTAGATTACATATTCAAATCTTTGAACATATCTAGTTTTGACGTGGAATAATAAAACCTTTGAGATTGGAATTGAGAAACTTCCAAATTAAATATTTATAACTTAGTACATCTCTATCTATCAAGCTAAAGCTACATATTTAAAACTTCATAGACAGAATTCAGAACTTTCAAATTATATAGTTAAAAACTTGGTACATATCTATCTTTCAGCTTTCTAGTTACATATTAAAAGCCTTTGTATCTCAAATTTAAAACCTTACAAATTATATAGTTCAAAACTTTCTACACCTCTACTTTCAAGTTACATATTAAAATTTGTAGACTGGTATAAAAAACTTTAAAATTTATATATTTAAAAGCCTCCTACATAGTACATTTGCAGTTTTATAATTGAAAATATAAATATAATTCAAAGTATATATACAAGAGCTGCCTACGTCTCCAACTTTCAAAGTCCCTATATCAAAATGTTTGTACATAGAGTATATCTAAATCAATTTTCAGATACTGCATATTGAGGATTAAAAGGCACAAGTGAAAGATCTCCATGAATTTGATCACTGCATATTGCAGAATGCAATACCAAAAGTCAAGGTTAAAAGGGCGTACCCAGTGCAGAGAGCTCCCGCTCTGTGCGGGGTCTAGGGAAGGGTGTTAGTGGCAAGCCTTACCCTCGCATGTGCAATGCGAGGAGACCGCGACTCGAACCCGGGACCTTCCGGTCACAGGCGGTAAGACTCTACCGCTTGCACCAAAAGTCAAGGTTGAGAAGTAAAATATCAACAATGCACAATACCTCAAAAATTTACAATTCAGATCATTCCAGGTAAAAGTCCAATTCAGAAACTTTAAAGGTTAAAAACACCCACATGCTATCGGTTTATGTGACGTTCTACACTGACCCATTAACCCTCGACTTCCTGAAAAATAAACACACTGCAATAAGTGGAAAGAGTGGCACCAAACCTTTTATGATCCTCATACTTCAACGTCACATCTCTTTCTTTGCATGGCGGATAGCATGGAAGGCTCGATGGTTCATAGGCACAAGGTTCTGCAGAACTGAATCCACATAAATAATAACTTGATAAGCATAGCTTAACAAAGGAACAAAGAACCACTTATTTGTTTCCTACTCAGAAACTGATCTCTATGATACACGAATGCAAATTACCATAATCCGTGTAATCTTGGTGAGATGCAGATTATCCTTTTGCATAATGGCTGGTCATAAATTATCTTATTTTTTCTTTTATTTTTGTATTTATTTAATGCGACAGTTCATTATAGATGCCTTGACGGTAATCGTGTAACATTAGTCTCACTGTTCATAGCATAAGTTGCAAGTGCCTCTCATATCTAGATCGATAGGAGAGTCTTGAGAAGTGACAGGGTAGACAGTGGCACATCTTTCAATTTTTTAGCAAGGCACCGTTTGAATGCAGAATCAGGAAATAAAAGATTTTGAAAAAGAATTTGAAGCACAACTTTGTTGCAACAAAAAATAATCAATACTTGCTGTAATTTTTTTACTGAGTGCTGTAATTCAGACACACTATCAGAAAAGAAGAGAGCCTGATTCGCTCTTCAAACATTCTATTGAATATTCTTGCTGTCCAACAATGACATGACAAGCAAACGAGCTTGTTAGAAAAACAAACTAGCAAGAAATTTCCTTGGTTGCCACATGGTACTGAAAACTAAAGCTAAAGTAAAATTACACACAATTCTAGATATACTTCCTTTTATCCATCAGAGACGGAAAGCTGACTGGTTAAATTAGCTCATCCTCTCTCGTGCAATCTTATACTATACACAGATCCTTATTAACCCACTGCAATGGAAGCAAGCAAATATAAGGCACCACCATGGCACTCAATAACTGAAAAAATTAATGAATTATGGCAAATTGCACATTTGTGATGCACATTTCAGATTATCATAACTCAATTATGGCACATAGTAAGCACATTGATATTGTTGACAAAAATAGTAATCCTAGATTCTAAACATCATAAACAACTCAACGACAACAAACTTCGATGTAAGATTTAGATTCTGAAGTACTCCCTCCGTCCCCAAAAGAATGCAATTCTAGAACTACGTCATGTTTTAGTATATCAAGTTTGACCAATTATAGATAAAAAAAAGTATAAATATTTATAATATAAAACAAATATCCTTAGATTAATTATCAAATGTATTTTTATAATAAATTAATTTGGAGCCATAAATGTGAATACTATTTACTAGAAACTTGGTCAAAGGTGAAGTACTTTAATTGGCACGCAACCCATAGTTGCATCCTTTTAGGGACAGAGGTAGTATATCCATTTGTTAAAAATCTAGAAATGGGATCAACTCCAAATTTTGTAGTGCATCAATTATTCAGATGCAATTTATGCTATATATTCAAGTACAGGCAATCCTTTGCATGTCTAGGAACACAGCAAGCTTGATTGGCTTAAAAAATCCACACGGAATTCGTACACCAAATCGGAACCTTCATTCTTGCATGTCACATCTAAACAATAAATATTTAGTTGATGAGCCATGAAAACCATGTCTAACATAGTTGCATAGGGATTATATGGGAACGGAACACCAAATCCTTAAAAAAATCTGAGCAATTCCAGACACTAGGGTTTATATTCGCATACAACAAAGTAACATGGCCACGATTGCAGATTGCAGAACAGAGCAAGAGATGAGTAGGGTGGCAGGAAACTCTGTATCAGACTTGGCTCGTTGTTCATAAGTTCACATATGCAGATATTAACTATGGATTTGTCCACAATCTGCTCTGTGTTTTTCTGGTATTAACTATTCCCTCAAACAAATTTACTCCCTTCCACCTTTTGGTTTTCTACAAATTTCAAAATCCCCAAAATATGAACGACCAGGAACTTGCTGATGTGCAAAAATAGTCACAAGTAGAAGATGACATTGGCTCTCGCTGCAATCTGGCCTGGCGACGCCAGTTTGAGCGGCGGACTCGCCGGGGCTCCTTGCTCTATGTAATATAGCCTTCCACCTCCAGCTCAACGGGGAAGAACAGGGAGCGTCAATCCCCTTCAAGCTCACGAGAATACGGCTGCGTGAATCGAGAATATGGCGGCAGATTTCACGTCAGGGGCGATTTGGCCTCCGCCACGAAGCAGATGAACAGACGCGTGGTGAGGGGAGATGAAAGTGGAGATGAAAGGGGGACAAGGCGGTCGCGCGTACCTGCAGGAGCTGGAGTCTTTGGAGGCCGTCGCCGGTGACGACATCGACGTCCTCGCAGCGGCGCCGCCGGCAGTCGTGTCGCAATAGGGTTTGGATCCTTCCTCCCGGTCCTGATTGCAGCCGCCGGATCTCGACGGCTGCCGGGAGCCCCTCGCTCCTCAAACCTCAGCCCGCTCGAATCCCCCTCTGCCTCCACCTCGAATCGAGACCGCGATGACGAATCCGCCCCAAATCAAAGCCGCGCCGGCGACGACGGACCTTCACCTCCACGCCAATGGGGGCTGCACCGGCTTCGATGAGGCCTCTGCCTCCACGTCGACGGGGGAGGAGGTCAGCTGGTGCCGCCCCAAAATCGACGCCGGCCGCGGCGACGGAGCTTCCAGCTCCGCCTTGAAGAAGATGAAACAACCGCGATGGGTAGGGAATGGGGAAAAGGAAAATTTTTAAGTGGCTCTCCCGGTGCAATATTTCGGAATCGGACACAGCGCGATAAAAAACATGACAGAAACGGAAGGGAACCGAACGCAAGTTGACGTGGTTACTAGAAAAGGGAAGTGCCCGTGGCTAACTCGTTCAGCGTACACGCGTTGTATAATCTTCCCGGTTAGGATGGTTACGTATATAATAACAACGAGATAGGGTTTGGAACTCCTCCCCGTACTCCTCTCCTCTCATTAGCCGCCCTTCCCCACGCCGTCCTTTCTTACCATAGGTAGGAGTTAGGGTTTGGAACGCCTCCCTATCTCTTCCTCTCTTCCTCAACCGTGAGCGCAGGAGCAACAGCGCGGTGACCCCACAAAGCCGCGTGGAGGTGGGGGCGACATGCGCTCTAGGCGACGCGCACGGGGTCCATCCGACAGTGTGCACGGGCCGTGGCTCCGTGCGGCGCGCGCGAGACAGATCCCGACGGCGACGGCGTTCGCGTGGATCTCGATGACGCGCTGCTAGCGGGCTCATCGGTGGGCTCAAATACAGGCCCGATAGCGGGCTTTTTTATTTTTCTATAATTCTTTTCGCAGACAGGCACTGCGGCCGCCTTTGTTAATCTGTATTTCCTTAGACGGGCACTGCGGCCACCTCTGTTAATCTTGAGTAACAAATGTGTTGTATTCGAGGCAGACGCGATGCCCGCTTGGGTAAATAGTTTTGACCGCCTGGATAAACTATTCCTATACAAGTGTTTGGTGTCAACGAGGAACTCAAATAAAATATTTTGAACTCATAAAAAGATTGTAAGAAGGTTCAAATAAAAAGATTAAGCTCAAGGAAATAGGAATTAAATTCCAAAAAAAGTTGAGAAAATTACCGAAGAGTTCGTTTACATGCATAAATACCATATACCATACAACTAGAAGTAGCATGAAGACAAAAATATGTCAATTTAATATGAGGATTTATGAAATAATTTCAAATTTTCACACTAATTTATTGTCCTACTAACTAAATCTTGGATAATTTTATAAAAAATCTTAAGCCATTTATTTTATTTAGCATAAACTATTCACAACCCACAATAAAAAAATTGAATGGTAACAAACTATCCTATTAATAAAAATCTCGTACCGAGATTCACCGAAGCTATACTGATTATAAAGAACCAACTTATTCCATGTCTTAAGGATAAAACATTCAAACACATGAAAAAGCACACTAAATGATATGGTCGTGTTGACGTTGATTAAGTCCGCACAAAAAAAAAAACTAGCACGCCTGAGACCACACAAGACCTAACACGGATAGTATAAAACTTCAAATTATGATATTTTTACAAGTAAATGTTCATGTGCCTCACTAGCGGATGAAAAAATCAATCAAAGTTATACTTTAATTTGATAAAAAACTTAATAAGACATTGTCATATTATTATAAGTACTAACTTATATGGATGTAATGATTATTACAAGATAAATTATAGCTTTATATATCAAAGAAAGAATAAAAATAAAATATACTTCCTCTATTCAAAATTATGTCATTTTTTACGATCAAAGCATCCCAAGTTTGTTCAAAATTACAGAGAGATTATAAAAATATAACATCAAATAGGTGTACTATGAAAATATAATTAATGAAGAATCTAATGATATTTATTTGGTATTATAAATATTATTATTTTATTAATAAATTTAATCAAACTTAAAATGCTTTGACTCTTTAAAAAAGTTGGAATAACTTACTTATAATTATAATTTGGGATGGAAGGAGTAGATGGATATGTCCTATCTTCAGCAGTTTGGCTTTTCATGTACTCCTTCGGATCAAAATAACTGCACTTCTACAGTTTTTGGTGAAGAGATCAATGTTCCTATAAAGATATAATAATTGCACTTTGAGAAAAAGAGAAAGTAGGAAAGACAACTAGAGCCAGGTGGTCTTAAGCCAGTCTCAATTGGTTTTCATGTCCTAATTTTCAACACACCCTTATTTTGGAATCAGTGTATAAAAGTTTCATGGGATGAAACTCTCTCTACTTTCGTAAAATTTTATCATCTCTCTCAACAAATACTTTGCTATGTAAGTATGTCAATGAGTATAAACTCTCATAAAACCCGTATCAGATGGGAATTTATTTTGGGACCAACCTGAAACTCACTGTTTTTTCCCCTTTTGTTCCAATTCATTCACGGCCGTTTTCGATATGCTCGTGGGCTATTTTCGAGGCCAACCAAGCTGCAGGGCAGTACCGTAATTTCCGTGGCCGGTTGCGGCCGACGACCTCTCCGAGAACGAGAACGACTCTTCCTCCCGTTTGCTTCCCCTGCCAGCACTCTGCCGCGTCAATCTCGCGCCCGGTCCCGGTCCCGCTTCCGCTGCAGCTTGCCCGCTTCCTCGTCGCCGCCATCTTGCTCCGGTCCCGCCGCAGCGGCCGCTGCTTCAAGTGGGAGCCGAGTGATCTCTCTGGCAGAGGATCCAGGCTGAGTCGGCGTCAGGCGGGAGACTTCGCCGCCATGTCGTTGGACTCGGAGGCCGCCTCGCAGGGCGGGGACTACCGTAGCTTCCGCCAGATCACTCGAGATCGTAATCCCTCTTGCCATCCCGATTTGGATTTGCTCGCTCGCTGCTGCTGGAAATGGATCTGGCAAAATTCCTTACGGAGCTGGAAATACCGACATGCGGTTTGTTGCTCTGGAGTCTAACCTCTAGTCGCGGTATAGAATTATACGGCGTAGTGACCTGTGCTTAACCCTGCATTGCCGTTGCCAACTGAGTGATGGCTCGTTGGTTTTGCTTGCCACACTTGTGGCTTCAGTGTGCGGATACCTTGATCAAGAGAGTGGTGGCAATACAATGAAGTGGGCTGTGCTCTCCTCAGCACTAGTATCCAAACAATTTGATACCTGATAGAAGTAACATGGCCAAAATTTACTTGGAAAATCAATAATGTTACTGGATTGAATATAGCCAAAATATAGTGACACTGTTAGGCTAATAGCTTTCGGAATGTGAGGGAGTGTTGGCCAACTGTCATCTTGTTATACATATTTTATGGAAAAAGTCATGTAGTATTGCCTCAAAGAGGAATCTTGATATGGAGTGATTTTCATGCATAGTTAACAATTGTGTCAACCCACCACGTTGCAGATGCTCATTATTAATAGTTTTCTAAGTATCCATCCAATAGTTTTGTAACATCTTTGCTCACTGTATCATATACAATCTTGTTTGTTTTATTTAACCGATTACATATGTATCGGTGGACCTTTGCAGCTACTTATGTTTGTGTTAACTAATATATTGCATATATTGACTTGCTTGAGACTAAAAGGATTTCGTTGCTGCTACTGTTGGGTTTATAAATAATTGTGCTTTGACAAATGCAGGTTTATTATTTGAAATGCTCAGATCACCTAGGAAGAATTCGAAATCAGCATGGAAGGTATCCTTTTCCATTGAACATTTTTACTAATATCTGGAATGGTTTTCTTGAAGTGCCCCTGTATTATGAAGTACTTACCTTGAAGTTTCATTTTGTCAATTTATTGTGTTTGTTCCTAACTATTGCTAACTGTCTTATGGTTGATGTGATTATTTGTTTTTATCCCTCGTTTATGCATATTTCCAAGGGATCATCCTTGAGTTTTTTTTCCCTATGAGAAGCAATTTCAGGTTGCTTGCGTTATTGGATTGGTACACCAAGATTACACCCTGTCAGTTTAGTGCAGCTGCTTTTTGTGTGTCTTATGGTTTTTATGATGTAATAACTGGAGAAACATTGTACCTAGCACTCTTAATTGATCTATGTGCTTGGTCAATTTGCTTTCTGACATTCTCTAGGTTCAACTGATTTTGCTTCATCTGGCAACAAACACAATAAAGGGACTGCAGGCATTCTATGGAACATGTGTGTTCAAGAAAAAGAAAAAAATCTATGGAACATGTTGTGATGAAGTAATCTAATGTTGCTTGACTAATTTGTTTCCAAAACCAGTTTAACTATGTCTAAGAACTTACATTCTGTTTATTGACATATTTGGTATATAGTCTTAAACGCATGAGATATAAAAAAGGCGTACCCAGTGCAGAGAGCTCCCGCTCTGTGCAGGGTAACGCATGAGATAATTGTAACATTTGTTTTACTCCCATTTTAGAATAAATAATCCTGAAAAAGTTTTGCATTTTATTCACAAATTGTCATGATCTCTTCTAGGTTCTTATCATGGATAAGTTTACAGTCAAGATTATGTCTTATGCATGTAAGATGGCAGATATCACAGAAGAAGGGGTTTCATGTAAGTGGGCAGGCATGATTTGTTTTTTGTTATGAGTTTTGTTTTTACTTGCATAAACAAAGTTTCCTTTTCCATTGCTGCTAGAGTATATAAATAACAAAGTGGGAAAAACAGATGTAAACCAGTGGATCGCCACACTCACCTGTTGTTTTGACATTTTAGATCCCCTAAATACTAAAAATTCATTAATTTAGGACTTGCAAAATCAGGCATTACTTTCCATAAGTATTGAAGAGGCGGTTTTGCATGGGTTGGGATGGTTCTTCAAGTTCATGATAAGGGGTGGGGGTAGGTGTCCAGCCATAGATGTACCTACTACGGGTGTGAACAATTGTTTATACTGCTATAAATGCGTGTTTGTTCTATGGTTCTGTACTAGGAATTTTGTAACCTTTTAGCTGAGTTACACTAGAAGGCTCTTCTGGTTACACTATATACATTTCCAAAATTATCCGCATAGAGTATTTCTTCAGGCAGACACCCTGTGGACTGATAGAAGGACCTTGTTGATATCGCCACTGAATAATTTGGTAATTAGTATTCAGTAGCCTAATGCAGTCTGCCTTTGTGTGCAGTAGAACTGCATTTTGTGAAATTGTGAATTACCATTTTGAATCTATCGCATCCCATGAGACCTATGTTTTTTTTAGTATTTGTATCATGGATCTTTATTAAATGACAACAATAGTGTTTAGAAACTTTCTCCCTTAAGCCCAA